ATTTTATTCTGTTCTATTATTTTCTGTTCTATTGTGTTCTGTTTTACTCTATTCTTTTCTATTATTTTATTTGCTATTCTTTTCTTTTATTTGCTATTCTATTCTTTTATTTTATTTTCTATTCTATTCTGTTCTTTTGTTTCGTTATTTCGGATTCATTTAAATTCATTACTACTGTAATTCAGAAATTCGGATACATCCGAATGACGAAAAATGTGTCCGAATTTCAATTCCGAACGAAACAAACTGCACATGTCAAGATTTGAGCTCTGAATTTTTAAAGGGGATAAATGTTTGAGGTGAGCAGGTAATATTAATCACGTGGTGGAGAGCAAAGTGTGGTGGTGTAGACTGAAATAATAAGTGTGCCCTCTTTCCTGTGAAAATAAGGGCATTTCATTGAGATGTCAGACCATTTCTTTTACAATTTACTTATATTTATTTTGTATGATGGTGTAAGGATGGCCATACACTATATAATTTTCTGTTCAATTTCTGCCCAATTTCCTTTAGATTTACCTTCAACTATGTAGTACAAGGTCCTGCCGAATTGGATACAATGAATGTGTTGTTAGGTTTGACCTCGTATTATATGGCCAACCAATAATCTCAAGAAAATTGTATAATGTATGGCCAGCCTAATGCTTGATTTGGAAAAGTCACAAGTGTATGATAGATATCGTTTAGTATGTGATTGCACCGCACTTATTCGGTGTTATTTAGAAGCAGGGGATCCCAACGAAAGATTTCTCCTCTTTGGATTTTTCATTACGTTCTGTCCTGGTGAGGGCACATCTACATGGACAGTAGTAAGTCCCCCTATTTCTCTCAGTATAGCTTTCCTTTGGAATTAAATCGACTTACCTGGCGGGGGCTGACTGTGAACATTTTGAGATGATGGCTTAGGCGTTAAAGTAGAAGCGTGATTCAAGCCATTTTCTGCTGGCGCCGGCCTCTGCTCACTGTTGGCTTCCAGTGGAACATCTCCAGCTTCAACCTGAAAACCAGACAGGATCGCTTAAGTGATTGATTAAAGATCGATCAATTTTCATACACACAGGTCCAAAAAAAATACTGAGCGTTTCAGCGTTTTCAGCGTATTCAGCGTTTCTTTATGCCTCTGAATGCCAATGTGTCCATACCCATCACGGTGATTAGATCCACATTCTAGGGCAGAACTTAACCACTTCCAGTCCGGACACTTTCACCCCCTTCCTGTCCAGGCCAATTTCAGCGCTATCACACCTTGAATGACAATTGCGCGGTCATGCAACACTGTACCCATATGAATTTTTTTAAGCATTTTTTTGAGACAGATAAAGCTTTATTTTAGTGGTATTTATTCACCACTGGGATTTTTATTTTTTTTTTTGCTATATAAATGAAATGTCCAAAAATTTTGAAAAAAGGTGTTTTTCTTATAAAATTTTGCAAATAAATAATATTTCATCATAAATCTTGGCCAAAATTTATTCAGTTATCTTTTTAGTAGAAAAAAAAATAACCCAAATTAGTTTATAACCAAAAATTATAATTTAAAAAAAATTTTTTTTACATTTTTATTCTATTTTTTTTATATTATTTAAATACTTTTGGTTCTACATACTGTCACCCTAGCAGTACAATCATGCAACACTGTACCCAAATTAATTTTTTACCATTATTTTGAGACAGATAAAGCTTTATTTTGGTGGTATTTATTCACCGCTGGGATTTTTATTTTTTTTTTTGCTATATAAATGAAATGTCCAAAAATTTTGAAAAAAGTGTTTTTTTCTTATAAAATTTTGCAAATAAATAATATTTCATCATAAATCTTGGCCAAAATGTATTCATTTATCTTTTTAGTAGAAAAAAAAATAACCCAAATTAGTTTATAACCAAAAATTATAATTTAAAAAAATTTTGTTTTTTTTACATTTTTATTCTATTTTTTTATATTATTTATATATTTTTGTTCTACATACTGTCACCCAAGCAGTACAGTGTCACCATGGTAACACTGTACTACTTGTAGGGGGTGATGAAGATTTTTTTTTTTTTACACTGATTGCTTTTACACCCATAAAGGCTGCAAAAGCAATCATTTCTCCTTCTCTCTGGTTGCATTCTTGCAGCCATTGAGAACTACTGTGTGAGCTGTGATTGGTCACAGCTTGTCACATAGTACAAGGCTGTTGTGAATAGCCCTGTACCATGTGACCTCTGTGATCATTCACAGATTTCACACATAGGAAGCAATGATGTCAGAAGTGACATTTTGCTTACTACTCTGCATGTGATCAGTGATTGGCCAATCAGTGATCACATGATCGGGACCTCACACAGAGGTCCCATACGACGATCGGTGTTCCACTGTGTCCTCCGTGGGCACCAGATCGTGGTGCTGCATGCTCCCAGGAGCGCGCACAGTCCAAAATGACGGGCGCTGTTTATGAACGGCAACCCGCCCCTAGACTGCCACCATCTGGCCATTTTATATACAGTGGCCGGACGGCAAGTGGTTAAGGAAGTAAAAAAAAAAAAAAATGGAGGCGCTTATTGTCATCACTGATGCATGTCTAAACGCTAAGACCTCATACACACTGCTCATAAAAAATGCTGCTTACAGCAAACATGAGTACACCCCCAACACATTTATCAGAAAAGCATTACTTTCCTTTCAGAACCGACATTTTCTATGGCTCACTATACTACAAAATCCTCCCACAAATACTGCCCATTGATTGCAAACAAGATTTGTTCATTTGCACACACAAAAAAATATTTTTCCTAACAAATTCATTCAAGATCATGTTGCAAAAAATGAATACATCCCAATGAAAGTCTTAGGAGCAAAGCTAAATTTTAGATGACAAAATCCTAATTAACAAGAATTCAGCTACAGGCGAGTCTAATTATTCATTAAACAGGTGTCCAGCAGACAGGTGATTATAAAAGGGCGTTACTTAACAAAGAAAACCCCTCCCATTTCATGCTGTCAGCAATGGCACCACATGGAAGAGAAATGTCACAAGGCTCGAGAAAGCAAATAATTTCTTTACACAAGAAAGGTGAAGGCTACAGGAAGATCAGCAAAGCTTTACTTATCAGAGTACTGTAGCAAAAGTGATACAAACATTTAACGAAGATGGAACTGCAACCATCTCACAGAGACGTCCAGGACATCCAAGGTAGTTAACACCTCGACAGGAGCGTCTACTGATGAGAAGGGTTGAAGAAAATCACCATGCAAGTTCACTGCATTTAGCTAAAGAAGTAGAAAGCCAAACTGGGGTGATTGTTTCCCGTGATACAAAAAAGCGTACACTGCAGAGGAATGGCATGCATGGGTGTCATCCACAAAGGAACCCTCTCCTAAAGCCCATGCACAAAAAAGCCCACCTAGAATTTGCCAGGGCCCATGCTGAAAAAGAAGACTACTGGGACTCTGTACTCTGGAGTGATGAGACAAAGATAAATGTTTTTGGAACTGATGAGGAGTACAAGTAACAATGCATAGTGCCTACTGTGAACCATGGTGGTGGCAGTGTCCTTCTGTGGGGTTGCATGAGTGCTGCTGTCGGGGAGCTGCATTTCATTGATGGTATCATGAATTCACAGATATGCTGCTCTATATTGAAAGAAAAGATGCCACCATCACTCCGTGCCCTTGGTCGTTGTGCACTTTTCCAACACGACAATGATCCAAAACACACATCTAAGGCCACTGCTGCATTTCTGAAGAAGAACTGGGTGAAAGTGATTCAGTGACCAAGTATGTCTCCTGATCTGAACCCAACCGAACACCAATGGGGAATTCTGAAGAGACAAGTTGAGCATCACTCTCCATCCAGCACCCAGGCTCTAAAAGAGGTTATTTTTGAAGAATGGAAAAAGATCGATGATGCAATATGTCACCAACTCGTTCATTCCATGTCTAGAAGACTTGGTGCCGTCCTTACATATCATGGAGGTCATACAGAATACTAGATGGAGGAGTTAGCGTTGTGCGGGGGATTCATTTTTGCATCAACTAATTTGTGTAAAATTGAAGATTTTGTAATCAAAATTATATTGTTAACCACTTCCAGTCCGGACACTTTCACCCCCTGCCTGTCCAGGCCAATTTCAGCTTTCAGCGCTATCACACTTTGAATGACAATTGCGCAGTCATGCAACACTGTACCCAAATGAATTTTTTACCATTTTTTTGAGACAGACAAAGCTTTATTTTGGTGGTATTTATTCACTGCTGGGATTTTTATTTTTTTTGCTATGTAAATGAAAAAGTCCAAAAATTTTTAAAAAAAAAGTGTTTTTTTTTTTTTATAAAATTTTGCAAATAAATAATATTTAATCATAAATCTTGGCCAAAACTTTTTTATTTTATTATCTTTTTAGTAAAAAAAATGAATCACCCTAGCATACAAAAGTGTAATTTTTAATACTTTTTTTACATGGCTGCAAGAATGCATACAGAGAGATTTTATGATTTTTTTTTACATCCTGTCACCCTAGCAGTAAAGTGCACCATCACTGTAAAACTTGTGGGGGGTGAAAAGATTTTTTTTTTTTTTTTTTTACACTGATTGCTTTTACACCCATATAGGATGTAAAGCAATCATTTCTCTCTCTGTCTGCATTCTTGCAGTCATTGAGAAGTATTGAGTGAGCTGTGATTGGTCACAGCTTGTCACATGGTACAAGGCTGTTGTGAATAGCCCTGTACCATGTGACCTCTGTGATCATTCACAGATTTCACACGAAGTAAGCAATGATGTCACAAGTGACATCTTGCTTACTAATTTGCATGTGATCACTGATTGGCCAAGCAGTGATCAAAAGATCGGGACCTCGTACAGAGGTCCCGTCCAACGATCGGTGTTTCACTGTGTCCGGAGGAGGGCGCGCACAAGGGGTGCGGGGGGGCCGTTTATAAATAGCCACACAACCCTGCACGGCCACCGTCCGGCCAATTATATACAATGGCCGGTCGGGAAGTGGTTAACCTTACTTTCATGTACTGAGATAAACAAATGTTCTATAAGTCCCCGGTCACAGTGGATGTAAATTGGCATGTGATTTGCATGCCATGCGACTTGAAAATCGCATGCCAAGTCGCACCCTATTGTCCGCAATTAGAGCGGTCATATCAGTGCGGTTCCGACTTGGTCGGAGCTTCACCGATTTCTAAAGTAGTACATATATCTGTGTCAGATGTCTTGCAAATCGCACCTGAAATCGGCAAGTCACCTGACTTTGAAATTGTGCAGCTTCACAGTAAGTCGCGCGCAATTTCAAAGTCAGGTTTGATGTGAACAGGGTGTAAGGCTCCATGTACACGGGACGTTTGGAAAACACATTTGAAGGATGGAAACTGACTGCTGGACAACGCAGATTAAAAAAAAGTATTTTTAGCCACGTTTGCATACCGCGTTTATGAGCGTTTGTGTTTAGAAGCATTTTTTAAAGATAACCTCAGGAGACCTTCCAAAATGCCCAGAATGCACTAAAAAATAGTAAATAATTAACTATTTCAGACATTTTGATAGAAACAGAGAGAGCAGAAGCAGGGAGAGCAGTATGTGTTGAGATGTGTTTCTGGTTGTATTCACTATGGATCCCATCATGAGTATAATGCGGCGCGTTCTACTGTTTTTTCCTTCACGCAAAACCTGGAACTGACTGCGCTGGTGTACCGGGTCCATTTGAATACATGGAAAACGCTTTGCATGCATTTGTGATGAAGAAAAAAGGTTCTGGACAGCATTTGGATATGGAACAGTTAAAAAACGCTTCTAAACGCAAACGCTTGTAAACTCGGTTAGCCGCGTTTACAAGCGTTTGAAACACTGATAAAATCTACTGCTGAATGCAAGTTTGGTGCATTCAAAAAAAACGACTTTAAACTCAACTGCCTGTAAATGAAGATGTGTACATGGACACATAGGAAGACATTAGGGAGAGTTCTGGGGCAGCTGAAACAAAACGCAGAAAAGATCCTAAACGTGAGTTTATCAGCTGCAGCGTACATGAGCCCTTAACCCCCCTGGCGGTATTCCCGAGTGTAGCTCGGGGTAAAATGTCAGTACCAAAAGCGGTAACCCCGAGCTACACTCGGGCTTACCATGCGGCGCTGCATAGGGAGTCCCTGCAGCACTTACCTTGCCCTTCGCTCCCACGATGTGTCCCCTGCAGCGTCCCCGGCCATCTCCTCCGGCTGATGCCGGCATCCGGCTCCTGTGTTCCGGTCCCTGTGACGTCGGGACGTACGGGCGCCGCCGGCGGCGGGAAATTTGAAAATTTAAAAGAAATGTCATTTTTTTCAAAACGATTTTACATAGTAAAACATTGCTGTTTCAACCCATTTCACCTACATTTTGTCCCGAGTGCTTTGTCCTGTCCCCTGTCTGCATTTTTACTGTTCTTTCTGCCTGGAAACTGAGAAACATCCATGGCGTCCAAAAAAAACGTCCCTTTAGGTCAAAAGCGGTTTTAGACCGGCTAGAGAACAGCGATAGTAAATCAGAACCACTTGCAGAATTGAGTGATAATGATTCGTGGGGGAAATTCCTCATCAGACACTGAAAACGATTCTGCGACTTTGCTCAGTGATGTGCGAACTTGGCGCTATATTTCAAATTTCAGTGTTTTTGGTTTGATTATATTATTGAATTAAATGTATTATTATAATATTATTTTTTTATGATTATTTATTAAATTATAATTTTGATTTTGTGTTTCAAATTTTATCCTCCCCGGGATGTTTACTAGACTCTTGTTCGGACAGATTTCAGAGAGTTATTCCTAAATATTACAGCCTACAATAAAAAAACTACATATTTCCATGCAAAAAAATGGTACCGCTTTCAGCACACAAAAATCTGAAATAATCAGACTGCCAGGGAGGTTAAACTCAGTTTTGTCAAAATTTTGGAAATTGTTCTTGTGTTCACTGAGATATTGATCAAAATCTTACTTTTCAAAAGCGGTGGACTCTTTGCTGAGCACTCTAGAGGTTTGGCTTTTTTTCTTTCGGCCTGTAGAGGCAATAATGTTAGCATAGGTGTCCATGCACTGGCTGAAAAAACCCATCCCAAGTGTGTTTTCCAGAGAACATTCGGGCAGAAAAAACACTCGATGGGCCTAAACGCCGCATTTAGGTGCATCAAGTGTTTTTTCTGCCTGAATGTTTCTCTCAAAAATGGGAATATCTTTGCACAAAGCAGGTAAGTAGTACATCTTTTATCTTAATTGAAAAGAAAAAAGTTAGCCACAGAACACATTAAAGTGCCTGTCAACCCTTACATTTACCCACTGAAGTGACTAGCCTGAGGTGCTACACAATGATTAACCAAATCATCCTACATGAGTTGTACCTGTTTATCTACAGCCACCTCTCTTCTGCAGCTATTCAAAGTCAATAACCTATGCAGCATTTATGAGCTTTAGAAAGAAGGGGGCTGTAGGCACAGCATAGAGCAGGCAGCTGAGTGTAATCTGAGACCTGAGTGGAGG